ACACATGTTCCAAATGTTGGAAGCTCGTCAGTAAATGCGGAGTGAAGCTTCACTCCTCATTTACTGACGAGCTTCCAAAATACTGTTGCTACTGACACGCCCATTTAAGATTTTTGGAGCCACCAGTAATGGTGACCCACGTCTTATTAGATGACATCTAAAATTGATATATTTGCAGCGAAAATGCAGCAAAACCGTAAGTGGGAATTTTAATTATGCGCCAGTGGTAATAAATACAATAAATAAATAAAGTTAGTACTGTATAAATTTATTACAGTTAGATATGATTTAAAAGTGGAATGTTTCATTTTCTATAAAAAGATCATTTTTAAACTTATTATTTTATATATTCAAAAAATGATATAGAATTATCGATGACAACGAATTTAAAGCTAGTTTGCTGCACTATATTGCGGTGCCTCTAGCTAGCAGCAGAATTCGTGGCCAACATTGGGCAAGATGGAGTCTTGCCCCAATGTGTACTTTTCGTACTGACTGCAAACACAGGTCGACTTTATTTCAAAACTAAACAATTTCAGTCTGAAAGGTTATTTCGAACACCATAATATCTTCATCTAAAAGGTAATGTAAAAGTTCGCAACGATGCTTACTTTGTAGAAACTTTGTAGCGGGCGTAAAATTAGATGAAGTATTGCCGAAACGTGGAAAATTGTCTTATTTCCAAACAAAGAGAGCGATTCGGACGTTCTCTCGTCCCGCGATCCCTTTTGAAGTTGACATTTAGTTCCCCAAATAAGAGCTAGATGAAAGCGCGTTAACCACGAATAAACACACGTCCCCGTCTTAACCCATGGCCCCATCTTGCACCACCTTTCCCTATTTATATCACCTATCTAATTACCTAAATCTAAAATCTAGGGGCGCACAAAACAATCTATATTTAGATTCTAACGTGACAATACTGCCCAACACGTAATACAGTATAGACTTCGACTTTTTGACCGAAAGTAAAATGGCGGGCGATAATACCCATCGTTGCCATCGAGAGAGATTACAGCCACTCCATGTAGTATATTCTAGCTCGTTGCCTAATCGTAATTCGGAACCAGCGGAAAAAGTCGGTACCGGGTGAGTTATTAGATAGTAAATAAGGGTTTGGCAAGCTTTCTTTTCGTGCAGGAACCATACACTGTGAAGGGTAAAGTTATAGGATATGGTTTAAGAACACGTGTGGTTCAGTGTTCCAATGGAACACCTTGGGCTGCATTGTGTTGGATGACTCGTGGACGGTTTTGAATCTTCATAATCTATCTTCCCCTACTTGTGCAGTGGCACAAGTTTTGAAGGACGATGAGAAGGTTTATTTGGTTACTATGTATTTCCCGCCGAGTGGTATTATTGAGGAATCCCTTGATGAGTTAGATAAAATATTAACTATTTTCCGAGGTAAGAATTATTTAATAGGAATTGACGCTAATTCTAAATCTCAATTATAGGGTGCCCCTACGACAGATTTAAGGAGTGAAAAGCTAATGACTATTATATCAAAGTGGAATTGTTATATAGCTAATACTGAAAATAGGATACCTACATTTATGTCGTCTATGGGTGAGTCTTATATATATGTTGTATTGGTGTCTTCTAGTTTGAAAGATGGGATATCGGATTGTGTAGTTACGTTGCATAATTACACAACGTGTAATCATGCAATGATGTATTATAGTATTAAATTGTTTTCCGTATATCGAAATAGTAAATACTTGGTTTTTAGGGATAATGAGAAAGTGAATTGGCATAAATTTAGAGAAATATTAAAAAAGTTAATTGATCCATATACGGTGTCGTGGGCAGAGGATAAGATGGATGTAATTGATTATTGCATCCATATTCATAGTTGTTTAGACAGAGGAAATAGATAAAATGAAGACACGAGTTTGTAGGGCTAGAAGAGCGTATCAGAGAGAACTGGACTTGATCTTAAAGGGATTTATAATTAGAAGATTATAGAAATTTGAATAGGCAGTATAAGAAATTGATAAATGAAGCTAAGATAAAAAGTTAGAGGAATTACGTTACTTCAGAATCAAATCGTAATATTTGGGGTTTACCGTATAAATTAATACGTAATAAAGCAAAGGTAAGAGATGTGTTAAATGCTATTGATATAAAGCAGTGGTCCCCAACCCCCGGATCAAATCAAATGGTACTGGGACGCCCAAGGAACATTAAATTATTTCCATTTTATTTACTATGGCGTATTTGTCTCGGGTTTGTGCGACTTTTAATAGACGAAGGAACAACGGAATAAATTGGACATAAGAAACATACTTCGGGTGTCATTGTCTCCTATTACCCCCAGATGGAACTGTCTCGTTGCAAAGAAACAAGTTCAGGGTTCTCATTGATTTAGCGTTCTAGTGAGTTAAAATGTTAAATCACATTATATTCATTTTTTGGTGTAACTGTATTTTATTTTGAAGGCATGTTTAAATACAGTTAAATTAAAATTATTAAATTAAATCAATCTAAAATATGAACAATCAACGTCTCCCCTCAGTGGGCCGCGGTAAAGTTATCAAACGTTGACCGGTCCGCGGCGATAAAAAGGTTGGGGCCGCTGCTATGAAGGATACTAAGGAACACTTATTATATTGGAATAAATCGGTAAGATTTTTACTAGATTCCTTGTTTGTATCAGATGACGATTTATTAGATACACCTTATCAGGCAGGTGCTCGGATTGATAATGATAGTTATAGTAATGGAAAGACAGTAAGTTTATATCTTTGCTGTTGTTATTTGTTGCTCGAGCAACGCCGGGCTCATCTGCTAGTAATAATAATTTAATATAAATGTTTTTGAAAAATAATTAATTAGTGAATATTTCTTACGATAACATTATGTGGTTCGTGTGATAAATATAATTTTTTTTTTTTAAATCTGAAAAAGCAATGTTTAATGTCCTAAGATCATTTGTTAAAAGTAGCTAAAATGCAGGCAAAACGTAAGAAAAACACGTTTTGCTTGCATCTTTCAGTGTGAACATGTTGCATTTTCTGAAGTAACAATTTTAGTGAAATTTGAAAATACAGTATCGGGTTACTAATAGAGATTTCTTTTAAATATTTTATGTTGTTAGATGAAAACAAGTCCAGTATATGAACTACTTGAATATTTAACAATTTGCAGTATGCATCGTTAAAGTGGTTTTAATAACCCCGTTCAAATTACATTAAAACAGGGTTCTCAGTGTTTATAGTAAAGTTTTATTTCTTTGACAGATTATGTAACTTATTAACAGAATAAATGTTATATGTTTGTGGATTTAAAATTTAAAATAAAATATAGTAATTGAAATTAAAACATTCAGTCATTTAAATTAATATTTCATAATAATAAATTTTTATGAATATACTTAATTCTCTATAAAAATAATTAAATTTAGTTTATACGCGTAACTTTCCTCATTTAGGAACAATTAAATTTGTAAAAATATTTGATGCGAACTCCTATTTGCAGTTTACATAATGCAAAAATACACGCGAATAAAGAAAATGAAATATTCTTATTTTAAAAAATATCTCCAATTTTCTTCTCTAATCTCGTATTTCGAAACCAAATAAACTATCCTTGTATTGTATTGTATGAACCGTTAACAGCATTTCATTTCGACCCATTTATTTAGTTAAAGTCTTTAATTATACATCAGAGTAACCTCTAAATGCAAAGACTCTCTATTGATGGGTGCTCCTACCCGGCGTTTAAATCACGTACGACTATTTGTCGCGGATCTATGATCCTTTCAAACGCCATAACGGTCCGCGACTTTCTGCCGTTAAAGCAACGCGCGATTCTCGTCTGGCACACCGCCCAACCCACCATTATCGGCCAGTAGAAATGAGTCCGGGCGGGGGCACCGCAAAAGCCACCTACTAACTCGCGGGAAGAACCTGGCCATTTACGGCCAACGGCGGTTTTACCTCCGTCCCAGGGTTTTAAACCGCCAAAAGTTCTCTCTTTCGACCCACTTGGTTGCCAGGCGGATGGATAGCGGATATTCCAGCCCGGCCGGCGGAGGGAAAGGAAGGGGCACCGGCCTCACGACGGCAGGGGTAAAAAGCCACAGAAATACGTAATCTTAGGGCCGAACACCCGTTCCCGTATTTACTGGATTATAGTAGCAACGTTGCCATCTCGGCCCTTTTTTAAATATTTGAATATTTCCGGTCTTTTCAATTGCGCGGTTTTATCGCCTTGTTTTTTAAATAATGCTGTCTTTTTTGCCCGTGCAGTTTTTCCTTTTGTCCCAACCCTCTTCTTTTAGGCTGATTTCATCGGTAACAGATTGGAATTACTCGTAAATTTAAAAGCGGACGGATTATTGAGGAATTGTCCGTTTTTTACGTCGGCCAAGCGCGGGACATGGGTTTCCCGACTTTTTGTAAATTATCGGTTTTCCGAGCGGGAGTGTAAGAAAGAGTTAACTGGCTAAGGTAAGGTTTTTTAATAGTAATTTAAAGAGTAGAAAACAATAGAGTAAAAATAACGAAAACAAATACATTTATTCTTCCCCCGACGAAAATACACGAGACGACGGTAACCAGGAACGGGTAAAAACCCCCCGCCCGTTCCGTCCGCCGCGGAAATTGTTACGTAGATAAATTAATTTTCATAATTCGTCCTTCTTGGAATCCTCTTCTTTCGGCTCCTCCTGAACTTCGGGTTCCTGAATAAAACGGTGGAGGATTATTAAATATTTCCGCTTCCTTCTCTCTAACATTATTATTATTATAAAAGTATAGAAGTGCGTAAGAAGTGTTACGAATTGCTTTTGTAGAGACGAGTGCAAGAAAGTGTCCACACTGCATTGCACGGCGATTTTACAATTACGAAAATAGGAAAAAAGGAAGAAAGACAAGGTTTATACCCGAAGACCAGAGAAAATACAGTAACAAGGCGTATAAAGTTCCCGGGCTGGAAAGTTTTTTTAGGCCTTCTCCCCTGCATGACGGGAATTTCCGAAGAGGCGCGCCCGGTGAAATTTCCGGGCCAAGGATTGTTGGCAACCCACGACTTCTGCCAATTAAGCGATAAACCATCCGTCCAAATAAATCAACCTTTTCCCACGGGTAAATAAGCCCACGAAGGTGAGGAGAAAGACACGTACCGGTGGAAAGGCCCCCGCTTCCGTCTCCTATCCATTGTTTGTTACTGCCAATAAACGGCCCTTCCGCTGTTATTAATACAACGAGTGCGCACCACCTTCCCTAAGCAGCCGTCGGCCAGTAATCCCCCATTGGGTTTGTCAGGCAGCAATCTGCCTCCTCCTAAAAAACCCAAATATCTCCAATGCCACTTTCCACAAAATTTCTTCTGTTAATTAACACCATTGTCCGACCCGAAAACACCGGTTTATGCCATAAACTGTAGATTGTTTGCCCCCACCCAATTTTCCTCGGATGCGGTCTTACAAATTCCGTTTCCCGAAAATGACGTTTATTGGTGGGAAGAAAAGGTTTAAGGCCTCTTAAATTCCCGGAGTGGGGCAGCTGGGACCGTCCAACTCCAGGCCTAGGTCTCATCCCCGTGCTCTGGAGTCCACCAGAGGTATTTCCTCGATTTCTAACTGCCGGAAAACACAGCAGGGAGAATTGCTGTCTGCCCTAATGGGAGCTGGGGCGTGAAGAGCAGAGAGAAAAGTTTTTGGGCCAAGAGAAAGAGGAAGAGAGAGGTTCCTGCCCCGGTGCATTAGTGTATTAGTATATCTGACCTCGGCTGATCTGTCGCCGGAATCGATAAAGTTTACCAGTCCTTGCAGCGTGGGTTTTCCGTTGTAGTCCTTCACCTGTAGAAAAAAGGCAGTCAGTAAAAAAATAAAAGAGAGGTGATAGTTACCTGGTCGGGAGCGGCTCGGCCGTACTCTCCGTCAGTCTGGATGAACTTAGAGATGCCCTCCAGCGTTCGTTCGCCGTTGTATTCTACAGCCTAACAACAAACTGGCTTTTATTATCTTTGCCCATCCAAAAGTAAAATATTCACCGCGATTTCTCCGGCAAACCCGTCTTTCGTTTCTACTTTTCGTAATTTCTCCGGAGATACGTCGTACTGACAGATTCCAACAGGGCCCGGACGCTTGGATGGATCCACCCCAAGCTAAAGCCGCAGTCACTCCTGGTAATTTCCGGCCGTGATTAGAAAGAAAAAGTTTGTTCCGCTGGCACCCGTAGCCAGGCACATCTGTCAACAAATGGTTTTGTGCCATGTGACATGGTGACATCTTCGAAAGTAGTTATGGTGAAATTACCGAGCGGTACATTAAAATTGAGGTGAACTGAGCTTAGTCAAGCCGACTGATGCCCAGAGTTTTAATTATTGGTTTTATCCAAGAAAAGATAAAAGAGTACGGGCACAGGCAAAGTTTGGCCGTCCATCGCCAGTACCGTTTTTATATATCCGAACAGTGTCGATGGATTTTAGTTTAGTAACGACATTATTTTAAATACGGCTAAAGAACTAAGTAGAAAGTACTGCCGTTTGCAAATGATATTCCTTGGCATTAAAAGAAAAAAGTATAGCGGACAAAGTGAATGTCAGTTTTTTATAAGATGGCGAATTGCCAGGCCGATAAACGACGCAACTGGTGCCGGTTGCAGTCGCGGTTGCCTGCACAGCCAAAAATCGCTAGGCGTGACCACCGCTTAACTTGTATTATTTTCTACTGTCTTCCCATTACCTTGACAGCGGGAAGACTTTTCTGCCGCACCACTGGAAAAAGAACTGAACATCCAGTTCTTTTTCCAGAAAAGCGTTTGGGCTACCATGAAAATATGTAAATACCAGCGCGCTTGGAATTGGCCACCTGATGCTGTATCCGAGTTTACTTACAAATTTTGACCGGTGGCTGACAGAAACAGCAGGGCAACATTTAAGCACATTTAACATAAATGCGGCGGAAATAACCGCCCAAATTCTGATGTGGTTCTAATAATTATCATCCCTATTTGGCCATGGCCAAAGGAAACTGGTTCTGGCCCGCAGCATGGTGGCTGTTTTCGTCATCGCATTTTTCTGGGTGGGGTGGGAAAAATAAGGCCCATGGCCGAACAGGTGGTACGATGATAACGGGGTGATAATGTCCACCCACCCAAAAAAATGCGGAGATGGAACTAACCGATTACAGATGACTTCGTCCACCATGTATAAGTTCCAGTTTTAAAATTTCACCCTCGCAAAACAATCTTTTATCAGCTTAGCCCAGTTGATGTTACGCATAAAAATTGGTGGGAATGGGTTGCCTAGGATGATTTCCACCCGATTAAAGACTCTCCTCTGGACGTGGGAAATGTAGGTTTCGTACAAAATGTCAACACCAAAACATTAATTTTGGAGAGGAGCAAAATGAAGAGTTAGCAATGGCAACAGAAATTCGACTACGCTGTGCTGGAAAAAGGGACTTTGCTACTATTGTCAAAGAGTTCTCTCTTGCCTCTCCTAAACGGAGAACTACAATTAAAAAAAGGGGGGTCGAAAATTTTTGACCTGTGCAACGATGACTGTATGCCTGTCTGCAAATCAAGTGCTCGCAATGATTGTTGATGCAAATCTTTCCACCTGCCCATATACAATCACACGAAAGCCAGCAAAAGACAAATGGTAAGTTATATCTACTGTGAGAAATCAGAAGCCCTGATGGTGGCCCGTACCAGAGTATTGGCATGCCAGCCAATTTACCAGATTTGGAGAAACTGCATCGGAAGAGTGAACAAACTTAAGTACCTTGATGTTATTGTAGACCAGACCCTTTGCTGGACACCCCTCATGATAGCGACACTATCGAGATGGGCTAGATGGGATTACGGCTTAATCGGCAAAGCAATCTGGACCATCAACAAAATGGCCCCAAAGTGCTATCTGCTATGCCTGTGGTATTTTGTGGAAAGACTTCACCAATGCAAAGCAGAGCAATACAGAGACCGCTGCCCTACAGGTCACTAGAGAGAATGGAACTGTGTCCACAAATGAAGCCATGGTCCTGGCTTGCTACCTTTGCTCCTGGTAGTTGGCCAGGAAGCAACCTTCTACTAAACAACAGTGGAAGGAAAAGAGACGAAACACTGTAATCAGATGTTCCCAGCCACAAAATTCTCGTGCCAATCAGATATAATGAGCATCCACCTGAGCCAAAAGGATGGAATTGGCTGGGATGTTGGTGAACTGACACTAAGTGGTGTTGAGATCTATACTAACAGTTTGAAAGATGGCAGTCAAATAGGTGCTGCGAACTGTGACCGTAATGATGGAGTTCTAGTGTACAGTTCATCAGACGGGCCGAACATAGAGGAGTCTGTGTTCTGGGCCAAATCGATGGCTCTTTTCAGAGCATCACAGCAGATCCTACACTGTCCGGATCCTGAGCCGGTCGTGGCATACTCTGAGAGCCAGTTGTCGCTTTGGACCTTGAGTGATGGATACCACCGAGACCAATTTGTACTGGAGATCGGAGATAGGGTACCGAGGCCAAATTGACCCAAGTTGGGTCCAAAGCCATATTGAAATCCTGGACAACAAGTGTGCCAATCACTTGGCCAAGGGCCCATTTGTAATAGTGAAGGTAGAACCTCCGGCAATTTACATAAAAGGTACTCTACTGCAATGAATGATGACATACTGGCAAGAGCATTGGAACCTCCATACAGTATGTAGGTCGACCTATGTGTTTGTGCCTGAAGTTGGCCAAACTTAGATCGGTTGTAATTAAACATTGACCAAAGTCCTTACAGAACATGGGAAGTTTCCCATTTCAAGTCTGAATTCAGATATGGAGATGATTGCTGCTCCTGTGGGTGTCCACATGGTGATGCGAGGCACTATGTACTTGAGTGCCCCTTAACAGATAATGTTCGTAGAAGGGCTAATTGCATTGTTTGGAATAAACCTAAAGACCAAGTACTTTGAATGCTCACAGCAAGTAGAGTAAACTTGGAGACACTAAAGGAATTGATGAAAATTGTTTTGCGTCTCTTCAACCTATAGTCTGGTGGATGCACTGGGCAGGGTCCCCTTATCTAGGGGAGGAAACCTCACTGACCAATAGTGTGAGCAATACTCTCAACGGTAGAGCATTCCAGTGCAATACAGGCTGCACATGAAACTATGTCAAGGTAAGAAGGTCAGACTTGACAGTGAGAAAGGCTGGTTCCTGATCAGGTTGTACTGCCAGAGCCCAAGCATGTAACTTGGACTGACTTTGTTGCTCGTCACCTTAATACCACCATAGGTGACGAACCACTAATGATTAAAATATAGTGTCTTTATACTCTGTAGTGCCATTTGGCAGAGCAGGGTCAAAATACTTGCAGTTGTGGTATGAGGTACTGTACCTTATTATGTCAAAATCAAAATCTTTGTACTTTTCACTTGGAATCACTGTAACAGAAACTACGGCAGAGTTCGAGTTGCAGTCACTAGTCGACCACACTGTACAATCGTGCGCAGCAAATGAAGAGGTATTACAGACTTTGTGAAAAGACAGATTAGAGATGATCGTAAAGTGGGGTTGCTATTGATCCACATCTAGTGCAGAGGGCACCACTGCATGACCTTTGCTCTCTGACCACACTTTGCCTCTGGACTCCAATGAGGAGAGTCACTTTTCATTCCACACTAACCATTTTGGAGCTGACCACCATAACGATTTTGAACTTGTATGATATCTCAATATCCTTTGTAAATATCACATAATTAATCAAAATGAAGTAAAATTATTGCCTGTATTAAAGCCTCACTTCATTCCACCGACAGAACAAGGATATCGGACACACGGTCAAGGTCAAACCGAACATCCCGAGAAGGTAGGAAGAATCTATGCCAATTCCGCTTTGCATAAGCATGTGCCAAGTTCAGATATTAGCAACACTGCCAAACATGCAAACTAGGAACAAGCAAAAATTTTCTGAAAAGTACCAAACACATGAGAATTTGTTTGGCTTGTCTGTGATTCCAGTTTGATTTTATTGTTATAGTAATGGGTATAAAAAAATTATTTGTAAAAATCTAGTACCTTCTTCCACGAAGTACTGTCAACCCATGAAGTTTGTTTTTATGAAAGAAACCAATGAAATAATTGTGGTAGAAATGAGGATGACTAAAGTACAAATCTTGGCTGTGTCCTACCAAAATCTTTGTAAAATATGAAGGAAGTATTTGTAAAGCCTATATTAATATTCCGCACGATAGAAGGAAAGGACTAATGCTGTAGCATCCTGCAAATCTATCCAAATGTGTTATCTGTGTGATGCACCATGCGGAACAAATCAAACACCAGATAAACACAACACTGATGTAAATTTACTCTGGGGTTACTGTCTTTCAATTTGCAGATACGTTTTATGGAATGTATGCTCCATACATCGTATAAACTTGGAATACAGTCATGACAAGCCTGAGGAAAAGTTAGATGTAAGGTTGAAGAAAGGAAAAAACAAATACAATACAGGCTGCACAAGGAATTATGTCTTTTAGTGGATTTGCCAAAACTTAGATATCAAGAAATACAAACAATGAAAACAGTTGCAATTTTTCTGAAATGCCGAAACATCTGCAGAAATTATTGGCATTAATGCGGAGCTCATAACACGATTCTAAAATACAATTGTATCTTACAATGTCTAGCTTATGGCTTTGCCATAAATGTGGATAAATTTGATGAATACATGAAAGAAATGTAAAACTTATATCTGAATAAGTATAATTGGTATGCAATGCCAGTAGATGTACATAAAATTTTTTCACAGAATGGACAAAATTGTAGCTTCAATTCTTCCAATTGACCAACTTCCCAAAGAAGTTCTGGAGGCCAGAAATAAAAACAGAACATGCGAGGAATTGTTTACAAGGAAAACATCCAGAGTGGATGCCAACACCTATTTATTGCACAAGTTATTGATAAATTCGGATCAATTCATTACCTCTTTGCATTACTACCGAAAACCACCTTATGACTCAAAAACATTTTCAGCTCAGTTAGACAGAGACATTACTAGCAATTCATGATAACAATTCTTCATATATTCTGCAGTAAACTACTTCCCCAAAACAGGATTTTTCCTAGTTTGTTTCCTAGAAGGTTTGTACACAGAGAAAATTGTACGAACAACAGTGAGTGCAGAATTGTATGCGTATGAATTCGCCTATGTATTTAGATAGATATGGGTTGTGTGTTTGTACCGCTAATTACAGTATTGTATTGTAATTATTAATTTTCGATTATGTTGTTTGTGTATTGCACAGCTGATTAATAATAATAGCTTGTTATGTCTTCTAATAACTTACTGGTCTTGTTAAAGATGTAGATAATGCATAATTTCAGCACAGGAATAAAGTTCCCCTAGATTCATTAAATTGAACAACTGTGTGTTACAGATGATGAAACCTGCACCCACCGATTGCTGCACAGGGTTTCCTGCAGCAGCTAACTTTTGTATGAAAATTTGTTGTAAACCATCAGTCAAATGCATTCTGTTCTTTTACTTTTATCTTTTGTGGAAAAAATAATCTTCCTTTACTTTTCATTAATCTTATGCATTAGGGATGGTGTTTCTTTCCATAAACTTTATCGGAAAATTAAATTTACTGTTACTTTTACTCGGTAAATTTTTTCTTGCATTTACTGTATGCTTCTTTTTTATGTTGTTTCCTCCGTTAACGAAACTTTTGGATCCAACTGAGGGCTCTACAGGGTGTTTGGAAAGTCACCGTGCACTTAATATATTTATTAACAGACATGTTTCAATGTCGAATACAGGAGGTAAATATGAATACATGACAATTATAAACAATGTTGAAAGTGACACCCATTAGCATCAATACAGGCTTGGATCCTTTTTTTCTTTCTAAACACCACTAACAGTTACTCGCTTGAAGACTGAATGAATGTTATTATTGCTGCTTTTCAGTCACCAGTGTGTGCGGACGATCTTGATACACTGAAGATCTTCCTGCACCCCATAGATAAAAGTCTGGTGTATTATAATTAGATATTTTTATAACACGTTTATGAAATACCTATGATTAGAAAAGTGCACAGTGACTTTCCGAACACCGCATACTTTGAGATACCTATCCTGTCGAACATCCCGTCGTATGTCTTCATCTCTCTAGAACTTCTCACCGTAGATAAGTCTGCAGTGCAAAGAAGTGACTTTCCCAGTGTCACATGATTATTTGTTATGTTCAACTCTGCAACAAGAAGGCAAGAACTTTCTCATTGCATAGTGAGAATTCACATGCCCACTTGCTAACCTAATCACCTATCTTTCTGACCGATTTCTTTTTTGTCAATGTTTTCTGTTTCACATTACTTTTGAAAATATTCAGTGTCTATGAAAAAGTTTCCTAAACTAAATCATTTGGTTGTAGATTATTGATAGATGTGTTATACTTTTATTTGATACGAACATGTATTTTTAATATAACTTTTTACCAAAGATTTAATTGCAAATTATAAAAGACTTTTTATGATTCACATAGTTTTCTCCAAGTTCACTATTGAATATTTCAATATTTAAAATTCTAAGATGTGTATTAATGGACATATGTTAAAGATTCATTAGTTTAATTGTAACTAGCAATATAACAAGCTATATTTTTATTGATCTACAACACACACACAAAACTATATACTGTAACTAAATTTAATAGATTATAAGCCCAATATAAAAAAATTGTACTAATTTTCCTATAATAAACTAATTTGTTATTAAAACTGCAGATTACATTATTTAGTTATTATTTAAAACAAAGAAATATAGCCTATCTTTACTTTTTTCTATTGATCTATGGTTTTAGAAATATGTAAATTATTAAAGTTCACCTATAATTTTACCTATCTTTTGCTGTAAATGATATATAAAAGTTTCCAGATAATATATTTTTTCATTTGTCCAAAAAATTAATTGTTACTTCAAGCTGTCCAGCCATCATTAGCTTCTCTACCATATTACAAAACAACTCCACTCAAGTCTTTTGATTTGTATCATGGTTTCCTATTGGCTACATTAAAAACTAGATGCCAAACTAAATAATAACCTATGTATCATAACAGGTACTCTTAAATCTACTCATATTGATTGGTTACCTATTTTGAGTCATATCCCCCCATCTGTACTCCGAAGGGATGATTCTCTGCTCAGGGAATATAGGAAAATATTGTGCAGTCCAAAGCTTCTGATTTATCAGGATATTGATGACCTCAGCATAAATCAACTTAAATCAAGACATCACCCTCTCTTAAGAGCTAAGTCCTTGCATTCCAATAATTTCAACCTTACTGAATCTTGGAAAAGGTTTTGGGCTGATGTCTCTCCAGCAGACAGTTGACAACTTTCTTGTATCACAAAGTGACCACCTGGGTTTGAATTGTCCAGAAATCTTTGGTGTGTGTTAAATAGAATTTGGACAAAACATGGGATATGTAGGTACAGTCTTTTTAGGAGGGGAAAAACTGCATCCCCACTGTGTGATTGTGGTGCTGAAAGACAGACTATACGTCATATTTTGGAAGATAGGATCTTATTGGACAATCTGGGACAACAGTGACTTCCTGATTGTGACTGAATGTGCTCTAAACTATGTTTCTGACTTAGATTTACATTTATGATTTGTATTCTTTTTTGCATTCTGTCCTTTTTACTAACTAGATGTGTAGCCTTTGCTAAATAAATAAATAAACAGGCTAAATAAATGCAAAAAATGTTTAGCCTGAAACCGGCAACTTTGTAAAGTCGTAATTATTCCATCACCGAGCAGACTTACCAGGCCAATGAGAAAGACAGGCCAGGGCATGTTTTAGTCAAGCGACCAACTTCGTGCTGTGTAGTCTCATATTGTGTTTTTCACTATATGTACTGTACATTCGAATTTCGAAAGGTTAATTTCAGTTAAAAGAAAAGAAGTAACTAGAAGTTTTTTCAGCAGTTTTGTTTTAAAAATTCATGGTTTTACTTCTTATATAATGTCTTAGTGAGTATTCTTTTCAAATTTATGATTAGGAATGTTTGTAGTTAGGCCTAAATGTTAAACATTTGATTGTATTTTGCTTTTGATCTTTTTTAATCGAAATATCAATTAATAATAGTTATTTTAGTCATTTCCTATTTCTTTTGAATATTTAATTTTATTACTTTAGTAACTTTTAAATATTTTGTTTAAAACTTATTAAAGTAAGATAAAAATTAATTATTTTAATGTATATGTGTGTATCATATATTCAAAAGTAAATTTAATTGTAAAGTAATAATTACAGAATATATACTGTTTTAAAGAAAATTTTTCAAAATGCCAAGATGTATTACATCCACTATCACTACAACAAATTATAGAAGTGAAAAGGAAACTTTTTCTACCTTTTCTTTACCAAAAGAGCCACTGAGAGCTCAAAAAATTCCCACCAATTAGACAGGATTAAAAATTATTGTATATCAGTAACACACAGTTATTAAAGTGGAAAAAAATTACGATTCAAACGCTTTGTAATTTTATCATATAAAGATTGTGATATTCAATTGAAAACAGTATTACCTTGCAAAGAAAACTGCAAAAATTCTGTTACTATACAATATTTCACGATGAATTTTCCTTCCAAAATGTACCCAAATCTATGTTTCCAATTTTTTACCTATATTGCAGGCTATATGGTGAAGAAAGAATTAACGAGAAAGAAATGTTATCATTTGTCACAACTGGCTTGAATCAAATAAAGTAGCAGCAGTTCACTTTCCTAATGAATTAATTTTTCATCTCGTTAAAGGAAAATAAACTTTCCTACAGAATGTGCTACTATTGCAATTGCCACTTCATGGTTCACATTGCAAACAACAATTAATAAATTTCAGGACACTTTTTTTAAGTGCAAAACATGTAAGTTATCAATTGTGCATTGCATAAGATTAGTAATATTCGACTTAATCAATATTTATCTCTATCATCATATAATCTTTTTAATGAATGTCTTTGCAAAATTACTTTTCAAATTTGACTAAACATAAATTTTATAGGTTGTAAAATTATGTTGAATAATCTTGTTAAAATTATAAGCGATTTCAAATCTTGAAAAACATATAAAGCTGTAAAATTAAAAATTTAAAATGAAATTAATAATTACAAATATAACTTCTGTTTAAGTTAACATTAATTTTATCTTAAAAGCATAGTTTTGTTTATTGTACAATTAAATATAGTTATTTTATGTAATGTATGTATTTAAATATTGATTAATGCAATATTAAAAAACTACATTTGATGCTTTGACTGCGCCCGGGCCCACCTTTCTTGTTGGCCTTGGTGGATTTGCAAACTAGTCAATGTTCGACTTTAACTTACAAGAGAGTTGAGTCAACTGTGACATCATCAAATGTCATTTGACAACTTCTCACATTGCAGACTAGAACCCCAGAAGAGATAGCAATGGACCATCAGTGGTTGGGTGAAATGAGCAAATATTTAAAAAAATGCATTAATTAAATTCTTAGTTTCTAAATGAATCTGGCAATACAGTAGTTAATAAAAGAATAAAAAATATCAAATGAATAGAGATAATACATGTTAAACATTAAACATTTAATACAAAACTTTCATACATACCTCATTAGTTCCCTTTTTGTATAATTTAATTGTGGGAAAACTGTTAATTTTTGTGTGTTCCAATTCGTTGGCAGTGGCATCCATTTTGGCAATGACTATATCATCGCGATCTTTGTATTTCTCTCCCAATTCTTCGTAGATGGGAGCCAACTGTTTGCAGTGACCGCACCAAGGCGCATCTGAAAATATTATGCAAAACCAAGGTAAAAATAGCATTTTCCAATGCAACATTGCTTTAAATAAGCCTAGAGTGCACGATAAAGCAAAAGAATAATAATAATTTACATATTTTATTTCTATAAAGTTTACTAAGATATAGGAATTTACTAATGAAGTTGAAAAATAATAGCTATATACATGATGTGGCGCCAAAATCCGGACAAAATTTAATTTCAAATTCCCACCGTTCTATACCACCAGTAGATGTTGTATTTGGCGTTCAAATATCTTAACACAGGTACTAAATCATCATAACCTCAAAACAGTCGCTATGTTGAACCAAATGCAGAGTATAACCGAAGAGTCGTGATTATCGAAAGTGTTCGCACTGGGCGCTCAGCGGCAGCAATCATTCAGTTCTTCAAGTACCCGAGATCGACTGTGTATGATGCTGTCGCAAAGCACAATGAGTTGGAGAAGTCCAACGAAGATTTTACAACACCGGCAAGGAAAACTCACTCGAGGGAGCACATTGTCAGGACGCCCAAAATCATTCAACAAGCTCGGGAGCTGATTTTTGAGGATCCAGGTCAGTCGATCCGAAAATTGTCATCGGTTGTTGGTGTGAGCGAGAAAACTAGGCGTAGAATCGTCAAGGAGGACCTTTGCTACAAGTCTTACACAATTAAAGTGAGTCATTTGGTGCAAAATTGGTTGTCAGACAACATTGACATGTTTTGGTCGAAAGAATTCTGGCCTCCCAACAGCCCAGATTTGAATCCTTTGGACTTCTATGTATGGAGCGTAGTTGAAAGAGTCATGAACAAGTCCAGACATCCAAACCTTGCATTATCGAGAGCCACTATTGATGCGGCATTTGCTGATATAGACCGTGACACATTAAAGCACACATGTGCACGCTTCAGACCAAGAATGGAGACGGTCATTCAAGCAAGAGTGAGATGTATTGAGTAAATGTATTCTTTATGGCCTTACAAACAATGTGGTTAAAAAAAATTTGTAATTTATCCAAATTTTGGCACTGCACCCTGTATTAATATATTCAAAAATCAAATTTAAAATCTTAAACCACCAGCTTTGCATATTTTGTAAAGGTTCTTGTTTTAGATATAAATTAAAATTACTTATTTATTATACAAAAGGCATTTTAAAAACATCATTTCTAATTAAACCTAGTTAAAATAGATAATTTTACCAATTTTATCATAATTGATTAATCATTTTTTGATTAATATACGTTATTTGTGTATTAACAAAATTATTTTAAGTAATTTTCTTTTAACGTCATTTAGGTTTTTTTAATAAATTTTATCTGTCAAAATAACAATTAACTTACAATCTGCCATACCTAACAATTACAAGGGCTTTGTGAAAGAAATGCAGGTTGTGCGGTAAAGAAACATGGAGAGGAGCTAAGAATGTTAAATTGCAGTTAGATTGTGGATGATAAGATAATTACAAAAGTGAAATTTTCCACACATTAATGGCATAAATTTTGAGAGATCAAAGATGATTGTCTGGTAATCTCTAATTTCTAAACATAAGAAAAACCAACATTATAATGATTTATTAGTTAATCCATAAATTTTGTTCAATCGGACAATTATACATATAACTGGATGTTAGCACAAAAATCTGTTAGATTGACACAGTTCCTGTTTTTTATGGTTTTATGGAGATCCTGTTGTGAGTGAAAGTTATCAAATGTTAATTATTAATACAAGTGTGTATTGTGAACAAATCATACAAGTTTTGTCTTTGTTGGAAAATAACAACCATTTTCAATTATACTGTAGTATTAAATTTTTCTTGTGCCAGGATTATTTGCTTATGAGCATAAATTATTATTTAAAATTATTAATTAATTCTTCAACTGAGATGAGGTCAAAAATATATTTTGACATAATAGTAGACTAATAACAAATTCTGAGAATTTGTAATAATTGCAGCACATAAGAATAAGAAACATGATAACATGTACTCTTTCATTGTGTGGAATTTGAAGCAGGTAGGAAAAGTTATTTGATGACATTTAAATCATGGAAGGATAAAATTAATTAATTACATTTATGTTCAAAAATTGATTATTAGTGTATTTTTTTTTGTATTATCCTTGTATTAAGCTATTACATTAAGTTGTTAAATAGTTTTAACTAGTTTTAATTTATACTTTAACTATTGTATTGTAGGATCATCCAATAAAGAATTGAATTGGTCTCAGAATCTACAAAAAACTCTTAGATTATTAATAATTTTTTCAGATAGATGATAGATCTATATAATCAATATTCTAATACACTGCCTAACAGAGAAAATGCCACATCTTGAAGATATGAACACTGTGCCATAAAAATTACAGGGTGAATGCACACGTGAAAGTTCTACAAATGATTGCATTTTTGGACCAATCACACAAAGCTGACGACTGGCCGGTGACATTATTGGTCAAAGTGTCGTCGAGCCTATGAGGAGTTATTCTGCTGTTACCATGTCAGGCAAAGAAACATTGGGTACTAATGCCTTTAATATGTTGTCATATGTAAGTTTGTCAAACTGACGAGTTCACGAGAGGTTTTGCCGTAGGCCTTCATATTGTCAGTTGGTCCTTGTGCCATATTGCAGAAGAAACACAATATGATGCCACAACAGTTGGTTACATTTGGAGATAGTAGTTCTGGGAAAGAAAAGTGCAATGTCATAGAGATGGGGGATCTGAGTGCACAGATTGTTGCATCTGACATCATGCCACAGCAGATCCAGGTCTACAACTGGCAACACTTTGTGGGCAGTAAGGGAACTTTAGATGCTCAGGTATTGGTGCAGACAGTGCCACGCAGATTGGCTGCAGAAGGGTTGCCATCCAGCCATCCATTGCAATGTCTAACCTTAACAGCAAGCCATCAACCTCACCATTTGGAACAGTATCACACCAGAGAATGATGTGGAAAATAAAACAGTATGGTGTTCGGCAATGAATCACAGTTCTTTCTCACAAATGATGATTGCCATTTGAAAGTCTGGATGCAATGTAGGAAATGGGCAGATCCCTCTGCCATTTTTGAGTGCCATGCAGCCCATCAACTTGGAGTCTTGATTTGGATGCTCACTTCTATAATGCATTATAGACACATTGATGACGGGTTACTAAACTGAAAAGGTGCTGCAGCCTGTGGAACTACCTTATTTGTAGGATATCTCAAACACTTTCAATCAGGACAATGCCTGGCTAAATACAGTTCAGATCAGCCCTAATACTTTGCAAGACATGTTACTGATTCCTTGGCCAATACAATAACCCCAATCTCTCACCAACGAAGTGCCTGTGAGTCACAATTAGATATTGGGTAAATACTCTTCCACTCCTGCAAAATAAAGATGAACTGTGAATTCAGATTAACACCACATGGTCCACAATACCCAAGGATCTTATTCAAACCCTCACTGAATTGATGCCACATTAGATTCAATGATGTACTGCCCAAAATGGGGGCCTCACTCCTTACTGATCATCCAGTATATTTGACCACTGGAGCCTTGTCTATGTGAACAGGCAATCATCTGTTCAGCACTTATTTGCCTACCTATGTGTGCAACGTTGTCTGTTTTTGAGCATTCCTTCATGGTTGGCACTTTCTCTGTCAGGCAATGTTTAAGACAGTGATTCCCAAACTTTTTTAAGCCCCTGCACCCTTGATTCCATAAACTTAAACACACTACCCCTAACCATACTCCAACATCCCCAACCCAATTTCCCTTGTGTGAGAAAGGCTTGGAATTATTCTTAGAAAAGTTTTTCTATGAACCTCACTCTGTTCAGTCCTCACTCCAATGTCCCCTTACTTTTTGCCTCCCTAGATTTACTCACTGCCCCCAGGGGTAGTAGTGCCCACTTTGAGAACCACTGGTTTAAGATTTCATATTTAATAAAAACAAAACTTACAAAATTCAACGATCACATCTTTAGATTTATCAAATGCAACTTCATCAAAATTCTTATTTACTAAAACTTTAACTGGGTGTTTATCCCAATCTTCAGGAAGATCTTGAGAAAGCAAATGTTGCTGTAAGAAAATGTAAGTTTATAAATGCCAAATTATTTTTTCAAAAGTAATTATTATTATAAATTTATACTTTGATTGTTCCATCTAGAACTCCTTTTACAAATTTTTGAATGTTTTCTTCAGAAAGTTCTGTAGTTTCTGGCTTATATTTTGACATTCCTTCTTCCAATTTAATTAATCTCATTGTTGGCTGTTCTTCTTTTTTCAGACCGAAGAATTCAATTATTTTTTCGTGATCAGCTTCGTCGGAGTTAATATAGACAAACAACACCTGGAGAAGATAAAAGAGAAAAAATTTTGACACAAAAAAATGAAGATAACAAAACTTAGTTAAAATGTATACAGAAATTTTTTTTATTACCTTATTCTTAAATTCTTTTGCAACATTATTATATTTCTTCAGTATTTCATCAAAATCTTTGCTCTTTTTACTAATAAAAAGGAGATTATGCAATTTTATCTCACCTCCAAATATCTTTTGAGCAGTCTGTAAATATTCAATTTATATTTTAAAATTAATATCATCATCATACTAAATTTCTAAAATTTGCAAAAATAAATCAATAATGTATATTTAACTTTAGAGATCAATATTAATTAAAAATTTAATATTTTAAATATATTGTAATTAAAACATTTAGATAAATAAAATAAATATATGCAAAAAATTAACAGCTAATAATCCAAATGATTTTATTTACATAGGAGACTGTACTAAAATTTTTTTCTATCTTTCTAAAAATAGTTTAAATTAATAAACCAAAACATCCAACATTACAAATTGTTTCAACTTTATAATTTTTAACACAATTTGTTTTTCCCTTTCCACATTCAGGAAAATTTATGAATACACATTTTTTCATATATTGGATAAATAGTATTAGTTCAAAAAGTTTAATTTAATAAAGAAGGTATAACAAATTCATGAAAAAGTCCAAAATATAGGAACTGGCAATTTATGCTAAAACAATAAATTGCTGAATCTAGTTTTATCTGAGTGAATCAGATATTGTCATATTTATTTCTACACTTGTCTGTTTCGTCTTTTTAATTAATAACAAACTATCTTATTGCAGATGCATAACATTATATACAGTAGAGCATCGTTTATCCGAAAGCTGATCAACTGAAAGAGTTCCAGTTGGCAAATTTAAATTTCTGCTAGTGCTGTAGCGCTGCAATATTTGGCTATGTCTTGGGCTACTCCAATATCATTTTGTTTTTATATTTTTCCATATATTAGGCTTAACATCAATAAAATTTTGAAATGTTTTTATATTTTTCAATATATAGGCTTAACATCAATGAAAATTCGACGCAAAGTGACACACAATGGAGAAAAATTTCAACATAAATAGGTTAATATATTTTTTGGTACATAAGTGGTTATCAAAACAACCCCAGTCCCCAATTGATTCAGATAAACGACACTCTACTGTATTTTCATTTTTATAACATTAAAACATAAATAAGTTTCTTTTGAAATAAGTAACAACTTGAATATACAGGGTGTGAACAAAATAATTATATGACTTCAATATTCTATTAAAAGAAATAATAAAAGTTTTTCAAGTGTAACACAAAAACTTTGTAAAAAGATTCATCAACTCATTTGGTATACAGTGCTGAGTGTCTTGTAGAAGGAAAAACATTGAATGTGGAAAAAAAAACAAAAAATGGCTATGCCACAAGAAAAAGCAGTGTGTTTTTGGTTTGCAGGATCAAAATCATTAACAACAGTTCAACGTAAGTTCCAAACAAAATACAAGAAACAGTTGCTGACACTGATAAATGGATAACAAAATTCAAATTAACAGGAAGTGTGCTGAACAGTAGAAGAACTGTAAGACCAAATGAATGTATAGAAGCCCTCGTTCTGATATCGTACCATGATTTTTTCCTTTGAGGATTCGTTAAGAATATTGTGTATAAGAATAAGGTAACATCACTTATTGGACTCAGAAAATGCATTAGTGAAGCCTTCCTCTTGATTACAGCAGACATACTTCAACATACTTGGATTGAATTGGACTATTGTCTTGGTATCCTGCGAGCAACCAAGGGAGCACATGTAGAGATTTATTGATGCTTATTAAAAAAATTTTCACTTGTATTATGTTCTTTTTTAACATTATAAGTGGGTTGTTATTCCATGTTTTATTTTAGTAATAGAATATAAAAATTGTATACTTATTTTTTGGACACACTGTATTTATTTATAATTTTTATTTTATAGGACTTTAAATTCTGATCAAAGTTTATTCTTTTCCCGATTTTTAACAGGTCATATAATTTCACAAAAGACAATAACAGACCTTAGGAAATCATCCTTTTATTCTCACTTACCATATTTACTTGCATATAACATGAGGTTTTTATCTATTTTTCACTGTTTCAAAAAACTAGGTTGTCCTATATGTGCAAGCGAAGGATTCTTTTCATTTTTGTATAACTTTTGTAAATTATGTATTTGCATATTTTACCAGATTCTCACCTTCTGGTGTTTAAAAACAAAAGTATTTTATCTGGGTCGTTTGAATTGTTCTTGTGTATTGCCAGGAGTAAAGATGAATAGCAATAGGAAAAGCAAAGCTTTTGAATTGAATTCCAAAATTACATGGGAGCCCAATATAAGGTTTTAATCCATTCCCATGTGAAAACAGATGATTATTTGGAAATTCGAAGAAACTCATAAGTGTAATCGACGAAGAGTGAATCAGACTGTTAACAATTGGCAAAAAAGGTTCCTGATTGTCCAGCTTTACATGAACAAATTACGTTGTCGATTTTACAAGATTTTTCCTTGAAGTTTAAGATGCCAGTAATTTTTGCGGGACAATGTGTGCATTTACATGCATTTGATATTTTATTTATTATTAAATGAAATAAAACTAGAATTGTATTAATAAAATTAGAATTGTATTAATAAATTATTTTGATCATTAAAGTAACACCTCGTCCTATATGCGAGATCGTCTTATATTCAAGTAAATACGGTATATACGCATTTTGAATATCACTATTGTGGTATCCTCTTCAGTACAAATGAAAAGTTCAAATCTATAAATAAACAATTTTATGATTAAAATATTTACAGAACTCTGGAAAACAACTTTAAAAAGTCACATACCTCTATGAGTAAAACAGGCACATAGGGTTTGGCATCACCTTATGCATCTATTTTACTTATAGAGGTATGTGACTTTTAAAGTTGTTTCCCAGAGTTCTGTATTTTAATCATACTATTGTTTATTTGTAGATTTGAACTTTTCATTTGTACTGAAGAGGGATACCACAATAGTGATATTCAAAATACATATACAAGTGAAAATAAAAGGACGGTTTACTAAAGTCAGTTATTGTCATTTGTGAAATTATATGACCTGTTAAACATCAGAATAAAAAGAAATTTTGATCAGAATTTAACTGATATTAAAAAAGTCCTATAAAATAATACTAAACCCAAGTCATATAAGATATCTTCATCCAGGTATAAATAAAATCTTTATGTTGGATACATAACTAAGACGATAAAGATACTAGCTAGCTACTCTGATAACCCAGATTTGAGTCTAATTTGGCTCAGTATAGGTGAAGTAAATACAACAAACTGTGTCCCTCGCCATCTGGCTTTCCTCATAATGATAATAGTGAAAAACTATGAGAAATATATATAAAAAGACACTTTGATATGTACAGGGCCCCTGTGAGCAAAAGAGGATTGTTTTAATTCTCCATCCTATTACAGTGAAAAATAGTAAATAACAGCAAATTTGTTAACATTTGTGAGACTTGAAAGGCCCCTGGGTCTAATTTAATAATTTTATTGATAACATTAAATAATGTCACAAAATATTCTTTCATTTTGTGAGAAAAATAACGTTTTTAGAGTGGGGAAAAATAGATGACAGATGTTACTTCCTTTCACAGAAGTTAGTACATCCTCTGTTTTTCCCTTATCTGCGAAAACTCTTGCTCAGATGGGAAATGCTTACCCCTCATTCATCCCCCTTTCATCCGTTCTCAGGAAAGAGTTACTGGCCGATGATTGGTCGGAAATCAGCAGATATACAGGGAATTTGTCCGAATTCGGGGAGTTCATCGACGGATCTGGAAGTATCCAAACTCCATACATTTTCCTCTGGATGACCAACGTCCTTAGACGAGTCACATACAGAATAATTCCAGAGTTAACACTTAGAAAACATACTTGGATTTTGTGCACATATTGATCTCCCATACGAAGAAGTAAATGAACTTTATCTCCAAAGTGTCCCTTGCATACAGAGAAGTAGACGAACGACAACTAAACAGGTTGTATGTTTTATAACGATTTTGTGAGCTCTCTCTCTTGATCGCGAATCGGGTATAATATAAGTATAGATAACTCTCGATTTGATATTATTTGTAGTAGTTCTGTCTCTCGTTCATTAATATGTTTGTATGGGTTTATTTCCTTTGTTTTATTAAATTTATTATTTCGTTTTTAATTGAAATGTCTCTTAATCTGATTCCGAATCAGATCTCACACGCGTGTTAATCCGCACATAATAAGATTGATTAACTGGTGTCAGGACCCTGACATAGGAAGAAGGTGAATTCGCCCTCACCAACTTCCGCTCTAAATTATAATTTAACAGTAAAGCCCTCCACACTCGTTTCCCTACGTTTGGGAAAGGCCGTTCTTTGGACGACCGAGAACTGGTCTTACCGACTAGTGCCCGTAAGTGGCGTAGACTAAGATCTACATCCCCGGCTATCTCACACATTATTTTAAGCCAAAACAATGTGTATTGTAATTTGGGATGAATAAAAACAAAACTTCAAGAAAAGTTTGTATGTGCCTAACTAACGAACTAAGCATAGGGAAATTTCTGATTTGTTGGTATCTCTTTGGACAGTATTTTTTAAAGTACAGGCAGTTTTTAGTCTGGAAACACAAAACACTGTCTTAGATGCCAGTCTTGTGTGCATGTTATGGTGGTTGGTTACATGCTTCTGTTATTTGACAAACTTTGTTAGTAAGCCATCATATTATAAGATTCACTTTATTAGGAAATTGTGTTAAGTATCATTTCATAAAGTATTCATTAAAATCTCTAATGTTTTGAATGCTTGCATTTTATAATCATTAATCTTTTTTACAATGTAATGGTAGTGAATTCATGGGACAAAACAACAAAAATGGTTGTTTTTATTCAATCCATGTAACTTCTTTAAATTTTAAACCAATGATATTGAAAAAGTCTAAGATCTAGTTTTGACATAGCTAAATAGATCTATTTGAATGTGTATATTGGTTTTAATTTATTTCAGTGAGGACATTTTTCTTAAACTTAGTGACTTCTCTCTAGTGAAGGTATATGACAAGAAAAAGAACTGCAGCAGATTGTAGGTTGCCAAAGTCTGTCAAATTAAGAACCACAAATATATGCCCTTCTATAGAATACCACAGACAACAGGATTTTTTTAAAGACCTCTGAAGAAGCTTACTTTATAAATGGGGATTTTGTTACGAAACTCTGCCACATTATTAGCATTCATTGCACTTTAAAAATGTAAGTTTTCCTGATGACTTTAGTGACTTGAATATTTTAAAAAATTCTTTATTTTCTCATTCTCTTTCATTTTCACTTACTCAATCAGTTTTTTAGATTACTTAAGTTATTCAAGCAGTTTTTATTTCTGTAAAAGTTGCTTTAATGGGCATAATATAGGGCCTAAGTGGGTAATAGACCTTTCTGACAAAGAAAAAGTATTTCCTTTCTCTTCAGTTTTAAAATTAGAAACAAATGTGACTTTTAAGTTACCATTTCTTTTCACCCCATAGGTAGAGACGAAAAAAAACCAAGTAAAAAGAACAAAAAGAAGGAATTTGATTACTTCATATATCACCTATTGAAGTTGTTAAGAAAGATAAGACCAGTTTTTAAGAACTTGTAGTCTCATCATTAGCATTATTGAAGATACATAATCATTTAGGTAAAGAATTGTTTCTATTCACTATAAATTACAATGTTGGAAACTTATTCAGTTAGAATTGTAAATCAGACAAGTAACAAGTATATTAGAAAGACAATAAGAGTGCACAATAAAACTCACCGCATGACTGAATTCAATGACCAATGGCAAACTGTTGCTTTTAACAAATTTTTTAATGTTATCTTTTGTAATTTCTTCTTCATATTCATTCTTTCCTTCATCAAACTAAAAAGAAAAAAAACCACCAACAATTAACAACAAATATAGTGTCCTATGCTATATATAATTTCAGATTTATAATATCTAGTATTTATTTTCTAAAAATTCACAATAAAGTTTGAATTGCTTTTCTTTCTATGAAGACCAAAGTACTAATACTAATTTTAGCCAAAAATTATAAAAATAATGTTTATAAAATTTGCCTTTAAAATAAATTCTTGTATTCAAAATCAGCAAATTATGTAAAATTTATAAATTTAAATACATTCAGATAGATTTTACCAATGTTTGAAATGTAATATAATGAAAATTAATTTTACTGAAAAAAGTTGAATTTTGTACAACAAATTTGTACTTTTAAATTAATTTTTTGGTTCATATCCAAGATTAAGTTAATACTGTTTATGCTTACTTTTTTAAATAAGATGATGGTATCTTTCTCGACTTTAAACTCTTTATAAACATTTTCATTGGAAGTGATGCCAAAAGGATGGTCGTCGATCGCGTAAGCAGCCTCTAAATAAACTTTTGCTAGTTTACTTTCTGGGTCCTTAAAGAATCCTATCACTACCACGTCTTTACTGTCTTTAAATTGCACTGTTTCTTCAACTGTATTTAAAGTAATAGCGGGTGGTCCGGTTTTCTTTTTCAACCAGTTGACGATATCGTTTGCAGTGCGTCCACCTGGAACATTTTAATTTTATTTTATAGAAAGTTTTACTGTATTCTAACTAACAACTAAATTATTTAGTAAACACTTATTGAATAAAATAATCTTACTCTAAGGAGTTTTTTTTAATATAAAGTATCAATACCTTTTCCACCCTCTGAGTTAAAGATATTAAAATTCATTTCCATAAAGTCAAATTCAGGCAATTTTATTTTATAATAAATATGAATAAAACAAAAAGTAGATGTCAATTTAATTGCTTATCTTTTTCACATTATCTTATAATATGTTTGAAACAATATTTTAATGTATCACTTTATATTTATATGTAACAGAATTGATCTATGTTACAGTAATGCAGAACTCCAGCTGTGCATTTAGTAATATTACTTTCAAATACACTTCAGTATCATTAATTAAAATAATTTTCTCTATTATTTACATACTGTACTTTATTTTTCACCAATATTTATGGAATTTATAATATACAAAAAATCTTTTACTAATTAATATTAACCTTTTTTTTAATTGGAAAATAATATACTGACCCGTATAATCAATGGGCTCTCCCTCACGGAAGAATTTGATTGTTGGATAACCTTTCACCTTGAACTTTCCTGCTAGTTCAGATTCTTCGGTCGCATCAACTTTTGCCAGTCGTATTTCAGATTTTTCTTCCAACAGTTGCTTAGCGGCTTTGGCATATTCCGGGGCTAGTGCTTTACAGTGTCCACACCAAGGAGCATCTAACAAAAGAAATAAAATTATGTACAAACTAATTACAAAAATATTTTGACTTTAATTTTATAAAAGAAAAATATATTTTAGAATTGGGCCTCCTGTTCCCAAGCTTTCCATATCTGGTCTTGATTTTTATCTATTTAACTCTGTTCTCAAGATTAATTAAGGAAGGACAGACAGATGACAGTGGAAATTTATAAATCTACAATTTTTTCAAATTGCAGCACAATAATAGATGAAAAAATTTTACAGATCCAGGAAAAATATTAAAAATTATTTGTTTTAATTCAAAATTATGAATCTTCCACCTTAAGCTTAATAGTTTCTCTTTTCAAGATTGTTTTGCAGATTAGTTTTTAGGTAATATTGCAACTCTTACCAGATTTTGAAATGTTTGTCTTTGCTGAAACTCCAAACATTTTGCCCTGTTTATAGAAATAATAAACTTATTCGTAATTGTAACAAATTAATTTGGAGAAAAAACAATTTGAAGTAATTAAAACTTTCCTTAAAATAGAATATTTGTCTTCTTAAATACAGGCAGCCCTCGACTTTTGTGCAATTTGCCATTTCACACATTTTTAAAAATTCAACTTTTCAAGTATTTTTGTTGATAATGAAAAAATTTGCTTCCATGCAGAATGCTCAAACACTACAAAGTGTGGTAGCTTGCTCTATGTTCTTGGACACACATTACTTCCTACAATAGTGGACATCTCGGAATCATAATCACTACTGTGTTGTTCCAAGCAAGAGGTCAAAACAGTTTCAGTCTTACATTAGGGTGTGCGTCAACATGTTGTGTGTTTTGCCAATTTTGTTTATGTTTAAATATTTCATCCTTATAAATTGATAAACATGAGTGACAAACAGAGAAGCTGCAGTGTTGATATGAACAAAAAGAAATTAAGGACTCAAACTTCATACAATTGAGACAAAGATGGAAATAATTAAACGTTCTAAAAACGTCAAATCTTTTTCTTCAATCGGACGTTTGTATGATGTAAACAAATCTATGATATGTTCAATTTTGAAAAATAAGAGTAAATTAAGGAATACATTCAAAATTGTGGAAATATATCTTCAAAGATTGTTTCCAAAAGACACAGCATAGTGATGGATGAAGTGGAAAGATCTTTGTCATCATGGATTGATAATCAACATCAAAATAATGTCCTCTGAGTTTTTCAATTATTCAAGCTAAGGCTCTTAGTTTGCATGAAGATTGGAAGACTAGATTAAATGAAGATTCTAACATGGTGTTTCAAGCAAGTAATGGCTTGTTTGACAAATTTAAAATGAGATATTCTTTACATAATATTAAATTCACTGGAGAATCAATCGGCTGATGCAGATAAAGATGCTGCAGAATTTATTTCCTTATTGTCCAAAATTATTGTAGATGGAAAAGATTCTCCTAGCCAAATATTCAATGTAGATGACATGGGTTTATTTTGGAAAAAATGCCTAATCATACATTTTTATCGAAGGAAGAATCAGTTGCCTCTGGACATAAACCTTCCCAAAACCAATTAACATTGCTTCTTGAAGGAAACTTAGCTGGTGATTTAAAATTGAGGCCATTGTTAGTTTACCAAGTGGAAAATCCCAGAGTATTAAAAGGGAAAGATAAAGAATTGCTTCCAGTCATTTGGAAATCAAATAAAAATGCCTGGGTTACTGCGTTAATATTTAAAGATTGGTTTGCTTTTCATTTCGTGCCAGCAGTTAAGCAATATTGTAAAAATAATAATTTACAATTTAAAGCATTATTAATCTTAGACAATGCTTCAGGAGCCCAAAATCTCTGCAGAATTTATACCTGGAAATTGATGTTGTGTTTTCTTCCTCCCAATACTACCTGCTTCATACAGCTCATGGACCAGTGATAGCTACATTTAAACAATATTATATGAGGACAATAATGACTAAGGCCATCAAGGCAACTGACAGGGAAGATGGGTCAACATTAACAGATTTTTGGAAGAACTATAATATATGAAATGCAATAAACAATATTGGAGACTTGTGGGATGAAATAAAAGAGTTGACAAAGAAAGGTTCCTGGAAACAATTACGCCCACAAATAATGAGTAATTTTTATAAATTTTGAAGAAACACTGAAAACCATCACAGATGAAGTAGTTAGCCTAATGAATGAACTAAACTTGGACGTCAACAATGAAGATGTTAATGAGTTGATTGAATCTCACTCAGTACCTCTGTCAAATGAATACTTAATTGAGCAACAATGGCAATTTTAACAATTGCAATTAAACAATTGGGCATAATGGCAATTTAACAAAAGCAATTAAACAATTGGGCATAAGCTAACAAGAAATCAATCAATAGTTTACAGTACGGTGCTAGCAAGGATTCTGAAACAAATGAACAATTGGCTTGATATATACACGTATCGTGTTATTTTATGGTGGACAATCTGAAAAGTTTACTGTATACACAATGAAAGTGAGGAAGAAGTTTACTGTATACACAATGAAAGTGAGGAAGAAGAAGCTGATAAAAACATCAAGACTTTGACAATTAAAAATATGAATGAAGCCTTCATGCATCTTGACAAATTTTTGACTATCATGGAAGAATGTGATCCCAATGGAGAACGTATATCTCAAGTACGTAGGGTGATTGAAAAAGACACAGCATGTTATAGAAATCTTTATCAAGAAAAGAAAAAAAAGGGTGGTATTCAACTAACTCTTGAAAGTTTATAAAGAAAACACCTGAAAGCACTTAAACACACCTTGTTAACTTCATTATGTATACATATTGATAAATGAATACTTTAAAACAATTTTTGGTGCATATTTTTTTTTACATTCCTCTACTTTCAAACATTCAACATTCGCACACACTTTCAGGAACCAATTATGTGCAAAAGTCTAGTGATGCCTGTAAATTGAAACAAGAGATAAATAGATAAGATGTTTAAAAAATCTAAAAATGTAAATTTTTCCAAAAATACAATTTCTTCATCTCATTAACTTATTTATTAGTTCTTAAAATCAAATCAAAATCTTAATATACTAAAAATAAGCAATTATAAAACATATAGAAAATTATAACTGTTCAAATTTTTCTCTTATTAGAAAAATTTCATTCTTAATTATTGAAACAATTTAAATATTACGCCATTCTAAACCCTATAAAAAAAAATTATGATTGAAATTTTCTTCCATGTTTGATTTCTTTGAAGATTTTCACTCTTTCCATCCTGTGGGCATTAAGAAGACTTTACTTCCAAGCCACTATGGGTTTGGCCACACCTATGATGGAGAAAACTTGGTGGTAAAACATACCCAAGATAAAACATTCCCAAAAAATTTGAGACATCCGAAGCAGATTAAAACCCAGGTCCCTGGAGTCGTAAGCCGACATCTTCGTCATCTTGCTCATCTGGTCATCACTTCCAAATATGATCACTAAAGTTATACTTAAAGTGGAAGAAGATAGTATTTAATTTCAAAAAATTTTAATTTCTAAATTTGTGAAAATAGTATTTTTAGTTACATTAAAACTAGAAAGTCCCTTTATGTGCAATATTTGAAACAAGAAAATATTGACATATATTATGATGTATACGAAAGTCAGAAGTCAAAATTTACCTTACTGAATATTTTAATTAAAAAATGATGGAAACGAAAGTCTACCATAATTGTCATACCAATCTTCATATTTAATTTTTCAGTGTTGTTTCCCCATTTCAGAGAGAAAATGAACTAAACAATTGGGCATAAGCTAACAAGAAATCAATCAATAGTTTACAGTACGGTGCTAGCAAGGATTCTGAAACAAATGAACAATTGGCTTGATATATACACGTATTGTGTTATTTTATGGTGGACAATCTGTAAAGTTTACTGTATGACATAAACTGAATATTTAACTGTCTTTAATTAAACTTCATGGTTGAGCAAAGATAGAGCCAATCAGCAATACAAATGCTAAATTTTGATTTATTCAAATTCAAAAGTTTAAACTACATTTTGATAGAAAATAAAAGAAACAAAAGAAAGTGCATCTATCAACATTTTTTATTCTTCAAGTTAACATGTTTACTACCAGTTGAGGCGATTTTGAATCACGCAACCTTCATGTAACACAGAATTATGTCAATTCGTAGCAAACACGTTATTGATGTTTTAATATTTATTTTTTTTAGTAGTCTACATGAAAGCAACATTTCCATTACAAAACTCATCATTAAATCCAAAATGGTACATAACTATGAAAAGTGTTGCTAAATATGCTGCTAGGATTAAAAAAGTGATTTTCGTTAGTGTCAAAATCATCTTTTAAAAAGAAAAATAGTTCTGTAGAGAACATTTTTACTATTAAATCTTGGAATAAATTATCAAATAAATACATTATTATTTTCACTAATCCATCCATATCATTTAAATTATGACATTATTGTAATGTAAATGACATTTCGAAATACAGATTTTAATTTGTTAAAAGAAACAACTTGAGAATTAAACTTTGGATGTCTTGAGACAGTTTAATTTATTGATTGAAGTCTCAGGTACAAACCAATTTGTTTTTAGTTTAAATTCATATTTTTACATTTTAAAATGATAAATTTATTAATTTTTAAAATAAATTATATTTTTCATATTATAAAAATTGAATATGTAATTTTCTTATTAAAAATATAAATTTCTTGAAAAATTTCTTCACTTTAACAATTTTTATATTAAACTTTACATAATTAAGATGCACAATTAATTACTTTCAACATATAAATCATATTAATTTTAATTCTTTGTCCTAAATTCCAAATGTGGCAATATAAATAAATGATGTGAGTTGATATTGAATTACAGCAACAAGCTTTATATTATCTGTATAATTAAAACTAGTTTAATAAAGAATTATATTTCATTTTATTAAGCAAATAAAAGGTCTGTACAACACTTGAAGGTGTTGAGGTTGCAAGTCAATAATAAAAACTATTATCAGTTTGAAAATTTTCAATAATCTTCATCAGGATAAAGGTATTTCTATTAGTATTTATCATCACAACATAAAACCAAGGAATAAAAAAAAAAATTGGACTCTGATTGACTGTAAATGCACATAGTGACTCTAAATTAAAACTTATAAATGACAGCTCAATAATATACTTATTTCATCAATGCCTTAAATTCACTTCAATGAGAAAATGAATTAGAAAAGCAAGTAACTTAATATGAGTACTTAGAAACACTGTGATTGAACTAAAAAGAATTGAAAAACAGAGGTACAACAAGGGAAAGGAAAGATAATAGATGTGGGAAAGAACTACATTCTTTGATTTTCCTGTGATAAATTATTATTAAATTTTTCTAGTACAATTGATATAAAACCTTTTCAATTTTGGATAAGAAAGTTTGTTCAACTTTAGAGTGAAGCAGCATCCTTTCCAATTTGGTGCTCCAGACAACTGCCCATATTGCTCACCCCAAATACAGCATTGATTGCATGGGATGATTTGAATTTGTGTTTCAGCATATAGATAGGGCAAACAGAAAGTGTTTATGTTTTCTAAAAAAGAAAATACCAACACTTACAGTGCTTGCCCCATCTGGCCCTGAAGACTACTTAATTCTCTTTTAAATAAATACTTGTGATCAATGGATTAATATGTGACAAATCTGCCACAATTGTCACATTTAATCCGCCACAAATCTAATGCCAACTTTTGCATTCTAATACTTGTTTGGAAGAAATAATGTTCTTTTCAATCAGCAACTATATCTGTGGTGATCAAGTGATGTTGACAATCAACTATATCAAATTATGGTAAGTCTAAACTGTCTATATCTAAATTTATAGCACTAATATACTGGGTGTTCAGAAAATAATGCACCATAGGAGTGCATGACAAAGTAAGAATG